GGGGTGTTAAAGGGTGTTTCTGGCTACAGTGGGGCCTTGACTTACGAGTTTAATTCAAGAGCTCGTTAAGGAGCTCGTTAACTCAAATCACTCTATCAACTCAATGCAAAAAATCTGCGGAGAGACAGCTGGTATCTCAAAAAACTCGTTAGTCAGGACACTTGTAAGTCAAGGCCCCACTGTAATTGGGTCAGGCAATAGACTCAAAGTCTCCAGATACCACCTAGACCAGTGGTTCTCAACCTTGGCCGCACCCTAGAATCACCTGGGCTTCCTCCCCAAATCCTAACTTCTGGGCCTCACCCTCCGGAAACCCTGCCTCTTTGTTACGGGGTGGGGCCACAACATTAGTAACAAAGAAACAGGGCCCGGAAATCAGGATTCAGAAAAGATTCCCAGGCGATTCCCAGGTGCAGCCAAGGCCGAGAACCACTGACCTAGACTAATGGATTCTGACTTGACTTGCCCCCAGGCCATCGTCCTCAGGGGCGGTGAGAGTTTTTCCAACTGGGTGTGGCAGGTGCCTCTGCCTGGAGGCTAATTGTTACTTTTAATCTCTTGAGTGGCCTCAGGGCAAGGTGTTTCCCAATAGGGTGTGTGGACTGTCTTCCCCCAGGCAAGGCAGATAGATGTCTAGGTGGGAAAGATGTCTTCTGCTGTGAGAGGGAATGACCCAGGAAGCTGGGGTGTCTGCCTTCTGAGCTCCATCCCCCGAGTCTTTCATCCTGGCTTCTGCTCTCACAGCTCCAGACCACTTCACTCTCCCTCTGCCAGGGCACCAAGTGGGTGGGTGGCTCCACAGGGAATGTTTGTGCCTTGGCCCTTTTAAGAGGCTGCCCGAACTTTCAGCTGCCACTCCCTGGCAGACAGCACCCAAAAAGCTGCTTTTCACAGCTAGATGGTATGTGGGTACCCTCCTCAGTTTGGTGCTTTCTGCTGGGGAGCTCAGCTTTGGGATTAGATCCCAGAGTTCTCAGTGGCACCCCCGCCCCCCCCCAGCTGAGCTATCTCTCCGGGACTTCATTTGCCATCTGTTGGCGCCTGGCCAGTCCTTTTGTGCCTCTGCCCCTCCTACCAGTCTCTATGCTGTCTCCACCTTCGGTCTTTGGTATCAGGGTTCTCTCCTGTGAGTTTTCCATTGATTATTCAGTAAGACTTTCGGTACTTCTTTTTTTTTTTAGCCGACGTTCTATCCACTGAACCAAACCGGTTTCGGCAAGCCTTTCGGTATTTCAGTTGTAATTCCAGCTTGTTCCTGGGAGCATGTCCATGCAGCAGCCTCCTACTCTGCCGCCATTTTTAATCTCTCCCTGCGGTAGTGTCTTTATACTTCAGTTTCTAGAAAGCGCAGGAGAACGGCCTGCAACCGGTTACCTATGGGTTACGGCTTTTAAGCAGGAAGCACGCACTGTGTACTGTTCCTTTAAGGCGTAGGGCCTGCCCGAGTTATTCTGGCCCTCGCCGCTCCC